TGTAAAACCATCTTCAGCCTATAACTGATTGGAATACCTCAAAGGAGTTCTACAACTTGCCCAGTGAAACGGGCTTCTTGTGGAGCCCTTGTAGTGTATAGGACCTTAGGTGGAATCCTGAGCCCCATCCAGAACCTTCTGAGGTGAGACATTCCCATTTGAAAGGACATGCAGACCAGTCTGGAGTGGCTAGAGGAACAGAAGATACTTCTTGAAAAAAAGATGTGCAGGAAAAACAAAAAACAAAAACAGCAGTCTGATTGGCTACTACAAGAACAAGCAAGTTGTTCTCTGGGGAATTATCAAGGCAAGCAATCAAGTCCTTTCAGGACAACTACCCCCGCTCCAAGACTGAAACTCAAAAGGAACACATGAGCAGGCATGCAAGTTTGCTGGTGACTGTGTTGGTCTACTTGTGAGCAGAAGAAGGGGAAAAGCAGCAATGAAGATATGGGCTGAGTTCAACCATGTTACATAGACTACTGTCGACCTTGCAATGAGAGAGAGAAGAGGAAGGGCTGGTTGGTCCAAAGTGTGGTGTGACTTGGGGACTCTTGAGCCCATGGACACTGACCTAACCATGGAGGACTAGAGCTGAGAGTGAAGCATCTAGCTGATATGAAGTGGGGGGAGATGCACAAGAACACCTAAACTTGCAGATAGTATTCATTTGATCTAGCTTCGATAGCTTGATGATTAGAACTCAACTAGTAGATAATAAAGAAATTTGAGAAAGGAAGCAAGTGTAAATTGCTACAATTTGATGAACTTGACCTATACTTGTGTAAGTAGTAGCTCAAAACCAACCAAGAGGGAAGGACTATTCACATCAAGGATCAAACCTGGCCCTCTGTACACAGAGTTGATAGGGATGGGCAACTTAAGCATTGACTACCTAAAATCGGGGTAGAGGAGAGTTATAAAGGCCACAAAGTAGCTGGTTTACAAGCTTCCAAGAGGGAGTTTAGTTTCAGAGTGTGCTAGGGAAGGTAGAATCCCCACTGAATAGTTTTCATCTTGACTTGATGCGTCTGGTGATAAGAGATAGGGATAGGATTCATTTGATTCAATAGTGAGTAATTGTTATCAGGCCTAATTGTGATTGTCACAACTGTAAAGGTAGAAGCTTTGTAACGAAAAGGGGGAGTAGTTAATATTACATTCCAGGAACAGAGGACCCTACGACCATCAAGAGAAAAGAGCACAAGCGGAATGTGGACCCTATCCAGAGAAGCAGGGACACCAGAGACAGAGGCAGAGGTGATGACATAGAGAGATTGAGCAGCTGAGGACTCTAGACTCATGGAAAGAGAAAAGTTGTGTGCTGGTGGCCAGGTGGCTGGCTTCCAGAATGTGCCCTTTGGTTGTTTAAACGATTATGTATTCCTGTGTGGTTAAAAACAAAAAAAAATTTTTTGTACATCAGAAAAGGAGGGGGGGGTTCTTGATAAAAGAAACAATCTATGATGGTTTGGGAAGGAGGAGGAAATTAGTCATGTACTAGAGGGTAGACATGCATTGATATGGGTGATGTGGCAGGCAATATACAAATGGAGGGAGGTTGCCAAGAGACACAGGGAGGAATGCAGTGGTTAAAGTGAATAGAGGTCAATGCTGTTAACTATTAGTGCAAGGAGGGGATTGCAACCATGTAATGAAGCAAAGCATATGATTTGTTGAATGTAAAATTGATGATCTACTCTGTAAACCTTTACTCAATCCACCATAAAAAGTTTAAAAATAAGTAAATATAATAATCATAATAATAAAAGAAGGAAGCATATGGTAGTTGTATCTACTTGAGGAATACCAGTATCAGTTGCTGTCAAGTCAATATCGAGTCAAGGAAACGTCATATATGTCAGAGAACAGTATTCCATAGGGTTTTCATTAGTTTATATATATTTATAAAATTTTTGGAAGTAGAACACCAAGACTTTCTTCCTAAGTGCCTCTTGGTGGACTAGAACCTCCAACCTTTCAGTTGGCAGCTGCACACATTAACCATTTGCACCACCCAGAAATTCCCACTAAGGAATAGCATCAATTTACTATAAGGTGAGTTGTAAACCATATTGAACCATCTCCTCTATGATCCCTAAATCTTTCTTTTGTTTGGGCCTTGCCAAATCTCCCTACTTAAACCTGCTCTACAATACCTTCCTTTCAACCAAAATAATGAAAGCTTGGGTTAAAATGCAAATACTTTCTAAATGTGGATAATATATAAATCTGCTTTTAGATACTAACATACTGAAATGACTTGATCTGTTACACAGCAGGATATTGAAGAAATGAGATGCAGGATGGCTAGAAGTGAAGATCTGGGTATGGCTAGAAGGAAAGACTGGGGAAGAAGAAGATAAAAGGTATTAGGTTCCTAAAGGATGAGGGAGGGTCTAGAGAAGACAATTGGGGTTGGGGTGGATCAGCATCAAGATGGGAAGACAGATGTTAACATGTCAGTTTTACATAGCATTACTTATGTCCATCAGATGCACTAGAATGTGCACTGAAGACTGAAATCAGGAGACAAGTGTTCTCAAGCAAGTCCTTTATCCCCCTGAGCACATTTCCCATCTCTAAACTGGAAACAACACTGCCTCCTATTACTATCTCAGGGGGATCATAAGAAGTCATGAGTTGAAAATTGCTTTATAAACAGTAAAATATGAGACAAGTGTACTTTTTTTTTAAAAAAAAAGAAGATATGTTTCATTAAAGGCAACAAGAGAACATTTTTAGTATGTGTAAAAGATAGAGAAGACTCTTTCCATTCATAATGGGTATCATGTGAGAAATACAACTTGGGAAGGAGGACTGCAACTAAACGCAATGTTTTCCAATACTGGAATTGCACACAACTAAAATGAAATGGTGTATGTGGAACAGGACTCTTCCCTAACATTTAACAACTAGCTTTTCCTGAACCATCTTTCACTTCCTCTGCAGCTTTGGGGTTTGGTGATCTGATGTTCAGATTACAAAGCAGTTAAGGCAGAACAAGGATGTTTGTAATATGTACACTTCTTCTAAAGGTTTTTTTAGCTTACACAGGAGGTTGTAGGGTGCCATCCGGCACACTGCCAATTCTAGCAATAATCTGTAAAAGTTTCCTACCATTCAGTGTTGGAGCTGCAAGGGATGTTAAAGACACTCTGTTCCAACTTCCGTCCTTTACATATGAGCAAGCTGAGACTCTGAGACTGACACATAGGGATCTAGTGGCAGAACTAAGATTCCAAGCCAGGCTTCTTAAACTAGGATATTCTCGCCATAACAATCCAGGCACGGATCCTAAAAACTTAGGTTAGGAAATATTGGGACCTAAGGAGGGTATTCATGACTCTGAAGAATATCAGCCCAATTCTTTCTACAACTTTGTCTTCCATTGTTTTTCCTATATTCTATTCTATCCAGTCACACTAATCTCTCCTAAGCCTCATATCCCTAGCCTTCATCTCCCCTGGGAAAATCTCAACCTTAAATCTTCAAAGCAGGTGAGATCATTGCCAACCTATTATGTCTGCTTCATCTCTAGGCTTGCTCTACTCTACTGGGGATGGATGGCAGTGAATCTGCCCTTGGGGCTGACATTACTTTCCCTCCTTGGCCTCCCCAGTCCATCAAGCATTTTGTTCCACAGGAAACTTGGCTCTGCCTCTGGTCACATGCAAAATCCAGATAATGCCGGCAGCCAGAGTCAGTCCTGGAGGCTTAATACTAAGGCAAAGAGACAATTCTCATCAGCAAGTCTGTCACTACACAGGGAGAATGAGTTTCATGTGAATCACAGAAACATAATCCCACATGCTTAGTTTCAACAAGGCAGGTGGTCATAATCACACTGAATTACCCTGGTTATTTATTTTAGCATGGAGGAAGGTAGAACAATGTATCAACTGAAGAGAACCTATATTTGATGTAAGGAACTAAGCAAAGACACCAAGGCAGAGATGCCTAAACCTACACACACATACACACACACACAATTATATCCTCACCGATGATTCAGATGCCTACAGCAACCTGTTCAGACACATATTAACACACATCCAGACACTGAGAGATACACTGGCACACAGTAAAACATTCTAACACTTCTTTAGATATTATTATGTAGACTCATTAAGTCCCTTTTACATATATTCTAGAACCCCATACCTAGGATAGCCTATCTCTGACACCATCCTAGTTTAGCCTTATAGTAGCAAGTGTGAAGCTCCCTTATTTGGAGGGAGGTCACCTCAGCCTTTCACAATAGGCAAACAAGAGTCTATTCATCTTCAAAGGTAAAGCATCCAGCTCTACAAACACCAAAGCACCTTAGTGACACATGTTCATGAAAAAAAAAAAGAAAGAAAAATAGATCCAAGTTCCAGTTTCCTGTTTATTTAATACAAAGCAGCAAATAGCTGAAAGTTGTTTGCCCATTTATGACTCAAATGAAGCAGATGAATCTACAGTGAAAGCATTTTTTACTCTCAAAATGCTTTTACTTATTTCTATAGCTATCTAAATATATGTACATTTCATTGATATTGATTTAAATCTTTATTAAAATCTAGTTTGGGTTTATTTTATAATATAAGGGAACTAATTTGAAGATCCAGGAAGGTTTCCAGGAGTATTGTCTCCTCATTAAGAATGAGATGAAACTGCAACGAGATTTTTTATAATGAACGTGATTGCATTCTCTTTCGGCAAAGGGAAAGGAACAACAACAACAAATGCTTTGGAATGGTCAGGAAACTGGAGGAGAGGTAGAAAGACCAAAGGAGGATGGGGAATTGGGGACTAAAGTGGCAGGGCGGAGGCGTCTTTCCTATCTCAGAATCCCAGCTTTCATGGAATTCCTATGAATTTTTCCTTGTCTACCAGAGATGCACAGAGAGAAGCTAACCGGAGCTCCTTTTTTTTTTTTTTCTATTAACGACAGCAATAGATGGCTAGCATTATTACTGTTATCTGCATCTTGCACGGCGGATGCTGGTACTTACCCCAGTAGACGAGCACCAGGGAAGTCAGGGAAAACAATCTGTTCAAGGGAGGCATCGTTTTCAGCTAGTGGCTTCCGGGACTAAACAGAGATTCCCTTGGTCAAGGACTGCGCCCTCCCAGATACTTTCGAGGAAACCCTTCGGGACGATCTGCCCCCAGAGGGCGACTTTTGGACCGACTGTAGGGCTAAGTGCCGGAGACTGGGAAGGCTTTGCGAACCGTAGAAGGCTGACGGGAAGTTTCAGCTTGAATCTACCCTAATCGACCGCCACAATTGGATGGAGAGGCTCAGCAGCTCTTCCTGAACCTGTGGCCCGGCTCCCTCTCAGCACCACGGACAGTATCTTCCCCGCCCACCCGGAACTTCAGATTTCACTTAGCTGCCTGCCCTCGCTCGTTTGCGCTTAGCCTGGAGCAGCGCAAGCACTAGGTGGCTCTGCTGTCGAAGTGGTTCATGTTTATCCACGGCTCTTCCCTTAGGAACAGCGACGCCCGGGCCCAAATCCACCTAAACCCAAGAGCTCCGGCTGCATCCGCCCCGGCTGGGTTCTCCGGTTGGGCGTGTCCCCCGCACTCGAAGCCACCAGGTCTGGAGAAGTCGCTCCACGTCGGTCCCGTCCACACCCGTCCTCGGTTCCCCTGAGACGACCGGAGGAGTCGGGAAGGAGGCGGAGATTCCCGTCTGCCAAACGAACTCAGAGGAGGGGTGATGGGTGGGAAGCCCCTTCCCCGGAGAGCGTCCCCGAATCCTGCAGTGCTCCAACCCTCGGTGGCCAGTGACCAGCTGCCCCCTTGCAGGCGCCCAGGTAGTGGTTGAAGGGTCCGCCTTGTCATGCGCAGGCAGCTCTCCGCCCACTCCCCCGCCGCCACCAAAGACCCACCCCCTCACGCACACAACTCCCCACCCCCAAACAGGCGTGCCCTTTCCCAGGCCAAACCCGGTCTGGAGCGGGTGGGGGCGCGGAGCCCTGGGCGGTGCAAACGCCTCCAGCTTCTGAAATCTATTTGCTCTCACTGGGTCTCCCTTTCACGCCTCCACACCTCTTTCAAGCACCGGTGCACTTTGTCCCACATATTCACACCCTCCAGGCAAACCCACTCCTGCTCCAGCACAGACATACCTGCCTCCAGCTCCGGGAAGGAGAAGGCCCATCCTCTTTTCTGGCAATGATGTCATCTGCAATAGACACAGTACATGGCTTCTGGCTTCTCTCCCTAGACCCATCGCCTCCTGTTCTCCCTGTCTAGCCTTTGTCTGGCCTTGATTAATTGACTTAGGCCACACCGAATGCAACAAGATAATTCCCGCTTAGGTGAAGTGGGAGTAGGAGTGGCGTTCCAATGTTCACCTCATCTCTCAGTGGAGTGAGCCAAACGTCAGTCCAAGAGCAGTGTTGGGGATGGTGGCAAAATAGGTCTCTTGCCTTCCACTGGTTCTTTGCAATCCTTCCTCTTGTTCTAACCACTTCTATTATTGCTGTTGTTGTTATTTAAAAACAGATTGTGGTTTGGCCCCTTCCAGTTATTAGTCACTCCCTAGCTCTAGCAGCTGTTTTAGACTCCCCTACTCCATCCCCATCTCTGGAAGGGAAACCTGAGCCTTTAAATTCAATTACAAGCTCGAAATGACATAACAGATTAGGAATGCTTGGAACTGAAATGAAAGATTAATACAAGAGCCTCTCTCTCCGCTCTTTTCATCCCTTGCTCCCTTTCCAAAAGAGGTAGTTTAACTAACACTGTTATTTCAAAGGGAACCACAGCACAACAGCTGATTGTAAGTGAACCAGCAGCCGGAAAATTTCCTTCTTAACATATCATAGAGCTACAGAATGTGCCCAGTATCTGATCCTCTTCCTGAGCATCCAATCACTAGCCCATAAACTATGCTCTTTTGGAGACAGTGCTCAAAGTCCTCGAATGAAAAGTTAACATTGATTTAACTCAATCCCTTTCCAGTTGGTGAAAAACAGCATCCCCGAGAGAGGGTTTGCTCCTTCCCAGAGAAGGGCCCTTACTACTTCTATTACTTAAGGAAGTTATTTGTATTCCAGTAAGTTCTTACACAAGGAGCTCTGGTAGCCTGCACCTCTCCTACCTCCCCAAACTCCATTAAGTAATCCCAATGTTGTTTTCTCGGAGACCCTATGAGACAGTGCGGAACTCCTATTTAGTGTTTTCAAGATTAAATCCTTTCCCTATTGGTGAGTTTGAACCTAGCTGTCTAGCACTTAACCCATACCGCCACCAGGGCTCCTTGGACTCAATGGCCGTGGGTTTGGATTTTTAACAAGGTTTTCTGAAGCAAAATACACCTCTTAACTCTCTAAAAGAGCTTTGCTTCCTTACTCTCACTCTAAGACTTTTTTTGTTTGGTGCTAAGCTTCATCAATTCCTTCAAGTGCATTTCCTAGTCGTTTCCAATATATAACCACCCTAGTTGTCCTCTCAGTTTGCTGATATACTTCTCAAAGTGACATCCAAAACCGACCGGAACTGATGTTTCCTGTGTGGTCGGCTAGCATAAATCCGGTGGAAATATGGTCACACTGGCTTTAGATGATATATCTGTTCAAATCTCACACTATCATATCACACCTCACTCATAATGAACTTCTGATCACTTAAAATTGTTAAGTAGTTTTCACTTGCTCTGTTGTTATAATTTGCATTTATATAGAACATTTTGCAAGTCTTATCTTGAATTTTGCAAGTCTTATCTTATTTGAATTTATTGCTGTTAAAATACATTTGTTGTTATTGTTAGGTGCCATGGAGTTGGTTCTGGCTCATAACACCCCATGGAATGAAACACCACCCACTCCTGCGCCATGCTCACGATTGCTACTTCACTTGAGCCCATCCCTGTTGCTACAGTGCTAATCCATCTTGTTGGGGTTCTCCCTGTTTAACTGACCCTCCATTTTGCCAAGCACGATGTCCTTCTCTAGGGATTGGTCCCTCCTAATAATATGTCTGCATTATGCAATAACATGTATATTGCAATCAATTATAACATTCTGTTAATGCGTTTATTGAATCTTGATCAGTCAGTCACCCAATATGTTTCTCTTCTATAGCCTTGTTTCATCTTTGGGGCCTGGCAATTCTAGCATAGATTTAAAAGGAAGAAGAGAAAATGAACAAAAAGTAAACAAAGAGCGAATGCTTTCTCATTCCTCTAGAGATCTCAGTCTATGTGACAATAAGCCATATATGAGAGCTTAAATTATTGACCACTTGGTTTGTATAAGGCTGCAGTCTACCATTAGTTCATTTTTATTTTTGTTGGATCATAGAGTTCAGGCACAGTAAAGTGTAGGGATTTTTTCTTATTTTCCCCATTTTGCTCCATTTTCCACTTCAAATTGGCAAAGTCCTTGTACAAACGTATGTATATGTATTTCACTCAAAACAGAGCCGTAACTGTGTTTTGACTGTTAACATACATTGGGACTCCATTTGAATTCATTGTTACTTCGGTAATGTGGCTATACTTAGACAACTCCACGTAAGTTCAGGGAGAAAGGTTGGTGTTCTGTTATTGTCTTGTTACCACATGATCTTGTTACCACATGATCATTCCCCAGCTACCACACATCCAGGTAATTAAAACCCCAGGTTTATCCTTTTAAACCTGCAGTTGTGTACACATCCCAATCTTGATCCCACCTGTGACAGTGATGAATTGACCTGTCACCAATCGTGACCTTATGATGATTTTCTTTTCTCTCTATAATGAACATTGGTACTGTATGTTCAACACATTCCGTGACTCTCTGCAATGGGTATATGCTGACAACTTCACTCATCTGATGATTTTCATGTTTGTCCTGTTTAAAGCATAACAAAAGGTTCTCAATAGAACATTTTCCAATCTGGGGTCTTTACCCCAACACAGCTACTAATTAGGCTTCTTTAAGATGGTTGTTCAATCATAAATAAACACTAAAACATAGCTCCCTATTTTCCACATGCAGAGCATGACACATTCTGAAAACTTAAAACAAAGGTAATGTGTAAGAAGAATTAGAAGTCTAATGATCCAAAGGAAAGAAGTAGGATCAATGATTTAAATTTATATGGAACAGATTTTCAGTAATAGACTTCAAACCATTTCAGTGTGGAATGCATTACCTTTTGTTGTGCTCAAATATTTACTATCTAACCAATTATTGTTGTATAAAGAAAGAAAAAAAAGAAGATTGTCTATTGGTGAGAAATTTGGGTTAGAAATAAATTAATGATAAAGTCTCAAACATCTTTACAATTCTATTTATGATTTTATTGAATGTCTCCTGAGATTGACACACATAGTAATGTTGTTGAGTGCCATCAAGTCTGTTCTGACACATAGACACCTTGTAGAGGGGTCCCAAGGAGTACCTGGTATGTTTGAACAGCTGACCTTGAGGCTCAAACTGACCTTGCAGTCCAGTGCTTATCATACAGCATCAGACTGATAATTCTAACAATCACCCCCACATTGACAACCACCACAGCTGCCACTGTATGGAATTGGCTTAGCTTTGCAGAATTTTTTCTTTGTTCTATATCGACTCCTAATAATCACATTGTCCTTATCTACGTGTTTAATAACCCCGTTTTAAATACTTAATTTGAGGATTTTAATGAGATGTTAAGAAAAATGTACTTGTCTTCAGTTTCCATAAGTCTATATCCATGTCTGCTGGTTTCTGAGGTTACCTTTGCATTTTGGCAATGGCTCTCAGTCACTTTTCCAAGTTCCTTAGGTTCCCTGAAGTGCATTTAGCCTTGTATTAAGTCTTTCACACATTTAACTTGTTTAACTCATCTTTTCCTCTTTTCTGCTTTGACTTCAATTCTTTCTTTCTATTTTGTATGTATTAAGGCAGTCCTAAGGAGTCCTGGTGTGGCGCTGTGGGCTAATGCGTCAGACTGCAAAGCCTATTGAACTGCAAGGTCGGTGGTTCAAGCTCACCAGCTGCTCCTTGGAAACCCTATATAGGGTTGCTATGGGTTGTATCCGACTCGGCAGCACTTAGCAACAACAACAAAGGAGCTCTGGTAGCGTTGTTGTTGTTAAGTGCCGTCAAGTC